GTGAGTATGATTTTCTTGTTGTTAGCAAAGGTTTAATGCCATTGGGAGATATCATTTTACTGGGAAACTAACCCAAGCCATCAATGATATTGACAGCTTAACTTCATTATGAAATACCACACAATTAGTCAATCATACAGCCTTTTCACACACAGCTAAAATTCTATAAACATGACTAGTATAAACGTGTTTCGAACGTGTTTAAACTAATCACGAGCCTTTCACACACAGAAATTTCGGTGCGATCGTTAATTGTTTCGTGATTAACTACTGCTCGTAAAATGCGCAGTAGTGCCATTGCGCATTGAAGGTCATGTCATGTCAATCAAAGCGCACGCTCCATCCAGTTTAAACACGTTTAAACAAGAATTTCCTTTCACACACAAAATGTCAAGCTCTCTAGATACGAACTTCGTATCTGCAGCCTGCTTTTAGGGGCGTATGGATCGCGACTTCGTATCTACCCCAACATCGTATAAACGATGTTCACACTGGGAAATTTTGTCTATAAACATGTTTAAAATTTTACGATGATTCTAATCATCACTAGATACGATGAATTTTAGCTGTGTGTGAAAAGGCTGATATACACACAAAAATTTCAAACCAAAAAACAACTCTTTGAATTGGTAATTTATATTGATTTTCGTACCCTTTGGTGCGTCTCTTTCTGCAGGCAATTTCAGACCTTATATCTTTAACCATATTGAATTTTGAAAAATGATTAGCTTGTAGGCTATATAGACTTTACCTTAATAAAACAAATGTAAAAAAGTCACAACTACAACTTAGATGTATTCTTGTTTTGATGTATTGAAGTGTTATAATTTATATCCTTCAATTTACATATTACCAAACAAGTCTTCTAGTATATCCCATTTCTAAATCATGTTATACACTGTGTGCATTTAACATCAATAAGAAAGGCACCTGGTTAATAATCAACCATCTTCAATCAGAAGTGATACAATCTTTGTTTACTTCTGAAACACAGAGGAAGAAGAAGGCTAACATTTTGCTTAGACCATGAACACAGTACTCACCGTTTAACTAAGAGCAAGATAACACCGGCTCAGCTAATATTGAAAGAATGGGCCTGGATTGGTTTCATTAGCGTGATAGCACTCCAGGAATGGGATGGAGACAAGATGATCTTGTTTAGTTTGTCTGATAAGATGTCAATGATCCCCTCAAATCCTTGATTAAGAGGACAGTGTTGCTTCTCAAACATTCAATTGAAATTTGAGACAGTGAACTGTTCTAAATACAGTGATGTCTATTAGATGTTCATTTTGTTTTATAGGAAAAAACTACCCATAAAATGGTTAAATGTTTAAAAAACAATGTAGGAAAGGTAGTTGAAGCATTTACAGGCAAATTCTTCTGACTACACTATAATCATAATATAGCTTATTTAGTCTAGAATTATATAAGGATTGATCAACAAAACAAGGATAATCAGGTTAAGGTACCAATTTCTCACTCACTCTAAATTCAAAGTCGTGATATGCTACAGTTGAAGCACATTTGGCATGCTTTTTTTTTTTTTTATCTCATACCAGTGAAGGACATTGTCCGTCTGACTGGAGAAGTTTGGAGTGGATCTTATCACCCAAATGTTTATTTCAGATCCATTATGTCCATTAGCGCTCTGATTGCAAATAAGCAAGGTGACATTACTAGACAAGAAAACAATCATTGGGAGATTGGGCTCATTTATGACTTTGAATTTCTTCTGGACACATTAATATAATTAGTTAGATATGAAGTTCCCCTCAATCCCCCCCCCCCATACAAAAAAAACCCAGATAGACAGAAACAAATAACTATATCATGGTCAGTCATCATGGCTTTGTATAATGGTTTTGGAAGTATTTAAGTAAATGGAATCTGTTTCACAAATCTGTTTTGTAGCATATTTAAACTTTGAGAGCAAGGTAATATGTTAAACAAATATGGTTGTATTTACATGAGAGGTCATATATGTATGTAGTTTAACCTGTTACCACTCCCAAAGAGCAAACTGGATTTACTTCTGACATTGATTAAGGGTTCCAGGTATACGAAAGGCCGAGGCGAGGTACTTTATGATGCTTTAAGATTTCTGACACAACTTAAGAACACAAGGGAGTAACACCTCTATTCTATAAATCCTGTGACAAGTGTTCTTGGAGGAACCCTGGTAATGTGTCACAGAAGATCTGTTTTCATCAGCTCGAGATTGCCGAATAGCCCGCTATTTCTGATTTGGGAAATAATCCTGAAGTTACAAATCGCGTCTTCATCAGCTTGAGATTGACCTCGAAACTTGAAACACAAGATCGAGATTAGCTCAAGATATTTTGCTCAGCGTTCGCGCATAGTGCAAATATTCGGGCTGGTGAAGGCGCACCGGACAAATAGCGGGATATTTTGTAAACTAGCCCAAGATATCTTGGGATGATTAATGTATCTCGACCAAATATCCGGCTAATTGCAACTGTAGGCTGATGAAGAGGCAAATTTTACTGGATAATTTGCGATCGGGATAGTTCAAATAGCGGGATATTTGGCAATCTCGAGCTGATGAAAACAGGCCTAGACTAAGTTCTAAGTCATTTTGTTTTGACCCTGTCTCTTGGCATTAAGGCTTGGAGACACCTGGATAGGATTCAGAGAAGGACACACCTTCAATCTCTGACTCAGATTCCCGTGGGAACGGACCAACAGTGTTCAACCATATTTCATATTTGTCCATGTTCCTCTATGTGTCATAACTCATAATGATAAGTTCACACTTTGAAGGAAACTCTACCTTGTATTCACTTACAAGTAGGATTTATTAGATACAGTCCATACATGTACCTGAACAATTAATGCGAATACGATTTTCTTCTTCTTCTTCTCCTCCTCCTCCTCTTCCTCGTCGTTCTTCTTCTTCTTTGTCTTCTTTTGTTGTTGTTGTGGTCATGGCCTATATTCAAGATTTCTTATTTCTAAAGCCTCTCTTGATCGCAAGCATAACATTATTTTCATTACAAACATAACTTTCTCTTTCCCTCCCTTGTCACTCTAGTATTTTGAAAGTTTCTAGTAAATCTAACACATTTGTAACATTTGTCTATCAGCCTATAAGTTAAATGTTTTATCACTTTTCCCCACACTATCTATCTTACCCAAACACTTGAAGCAGTCAGTAACAAATGCCCTCAGTGTTTGTCCTCTAAATGTGTAAATACCCGAAGTTGACATGTGGTAACCATATTTATAAGGCAGCCGGAAATTCAAGTACAATCCCGAGCCTTGATGGGATCCTAGGGACCAACTTAAGTTTGAGATTTAAAGCAAGGTCTTGATTGAAGGCTAAGCAGCTGTATCTAATGAAGTGTTTATGCTGTAAGTAATTTGTAACATGGACACAAGGGCAGGTGGGATAAATAAAATGTCACAAGAAATTTAGTCAGTATGTAACCATGGCCTAAGTGTTATTTAAAAAAACTTTACAGGTATTGGAACTTTCTGAAAGCTCCTTGATAACTTGTCAACTTGTCACCTGCTAATCAAGACACTATTGCAGGGGCTTGGGTGGAGATGGAGGAAAGGGGGCGGAGAGGGAGGGGGACTTCTTTGAAATAGTGTCACTGTGGTTCTACTCGTTTTGCATCTACATGAAACAAGCAAATCTTCTTTTTTTTCTCGTAGGCTCGCTGTTTGGTCTTCCTTTATGGTACCATTCTTACACCACTTAGCAAGTTTGATTGTTGAAAAACAGCTATGAACATACAGTGAATATATTTCAAACCATTTTAAAATAAATCTAGCAGTATTTGAAAATGGGATTACACAAACCACTAAGCAGTTCTTATCACTATCACATTCTGTAGATCACCTTTATTTCACCCCTTCAAATAAGCCCAATTCTAACTCTCTGGGGCGCTTCAAGCACCATTATGCTCTCTATGGTTCAAATCATAATCGAACACTGGCCCTAGGGAATTTTTTTATAGAACAGAAAGGAGTTTAATATCTGGAAAACATCTACCGGTAGTTCTTTAGGCTAGTAGTAGCAGAAAAAAAATCAAAACATGTTTTCAACGCTTCAGTCTCACACATAAAGAATGGTTTTAACAAACGTAATCTCTGCCCGTCATCTGTTAGTAATAGCTCGAGCTTACAGATGAACTGTATTGATAGAGGTGTTTGTTACATGCGTACTGACAAATGACTTTATTTATTCCGTTTTTGTGTGTTGTTGTAAGATCGGAGAGTTGGATATATTTTCTTCCGGAATCATAATTTTTTTTATTTTTCAGTGTAACAAGTGAAGCGATCAGCAGTGACTTGTTATTTTCTGAAATGATACCCACGTATAGAAGGATTTGTTTTTATTTCTTATCAATTTGGCTTTGGTCTTTTGAATAATGTAGTTACACAAATATTGCTGTAATGCAGACTACTCAGTGTTTCATGTTGTATTTGAAAAAAAATTAAATGCCCTAGAATATTCCCAAATTTTATGTAGAGATATAGCCTGCATCTGAAATAGCTGAGTATACAGTACAACAACAGTTCATTATTTTATTTTTCACTTTAAAATATCCTTTTATAGAAGACTTAGAGTAAAAAGAAAAGAGATATTCAGAGAGAAGAGATCAATGCATTGATGTTTTGGAATGAACCAAGAAACTTCACTTAATGAAGGCACATTTTAGTCAAATGATGATGCTGATCCCACAGTGAGGTACAGGAAATGAAGGAATAACAGGGAATATATTTGATTGTAAATCCTGGCAAAGTATCACCCTGAGATTGAGTCCCCAGCTAGTGATCTATCTTCAGGGTTAGTTAGGTGTTACCTATCCCAGCTGCTTTAAGTCTGCCTGCTTATAATTGGAGACTCATGGACAGTGCTATTGGACTTGACTGGTTTATAGGGGGTATCAAGTGCAAACGAGCACTCAGCTAGGAACACAACTACTTGACCTGTAAAACTCAAAGGTAAAATTTTAAAGGTAAACATT